CAAATACTAAATTTTTGTCGATTTTTCTGGTCGCTTCAGAGGCCGCAATTATGGCCCAAACACCGCGAACTGTTGCATGGAGAAGGGGATCGGGCCAGAGAATAAGCATGCATGTTTTGATAAAGATCGGTCAATATTTAGCGGGTCAAATGGACCCTGACTTTTGTGTGAAAAATGACAAAATTTGTATTCTATGGCATATATATTTACTCCTGGAGGATGTAGACCCCAGGAGTTGATAGCATATCCAAGAGGAGTGGTTGGCCTTTAAATTGATACCAAACATAGTGATTTATCTACTCAGATGTGGGAGTTACAGTCCAATATTTACAGGTGCTTATGTATTCAGATATTATTTAGTAACCCATTACCCCATTAGAGGGAGAAATATCGCGCTGATGGCTTTGAAATTTTTCATGAAGTTCCAGTTATGGTCAAGAACAACGCCTACAATTTTCGGTGATGATCAGATTAAAATTTTGGGATGAAATGGACCGAAAACATAATTTTTTGTGTGTTTTCGAGTAGAGCATAATCCGAAAATCACAACACAACCCACCGTGAAGGTAATCTGGGCAAGTAATTAGAAGGACTGTACTGAATATTCGAAAAAAGTTCTTCGTTACTTTTTTCGTGTTGTTAACCTCTAATCGGGCAAGAGGGGGCAAATATCACGAAATATTACTCAGACTCGGAATAAACATCCTCAGAAAGTTAGAGTTCGTGGTAGTTGTGTAGGGTATCGCATGGTCGGCCCCGTCCGACTATACTGCTCCGCTCACTGGTTTTTTTAAATATTTTTCAAACTTTAAGTGTCGATTTTTGTCGATCTGTCTTTCATGCTATTTGAGTATTCCGATTTGATCCAATCTTTGCAATACTGTCACCAGTGAAACTTAGATCAAGTCCCATTATGGGACCCATGGTACCTCCTCAACAAAGTTTCAACATTTTGAATTGAGTAATTGCTTAAAATATCTTTTTTTTGTCTGTTAAAGTTAATTTTTTAATAGTTTTAAATTATTGGATATTTTGTGAATATGTTCTACAATATTACTTATGAGAGTGAGCTACTTAAAAATAATATTATTCGACGCAAAGGCAGCTTAACTTAAATGCCAATAATATATCTGAAGTTTTTTTATATTTATTTACTTCACATTTTGATTTTATTTTATATTATTACTCAACGGCAATGATACATCTTCATCCGTATAATATGATTCACCACAAATACATATAAACCATGACGACATCGTTTCCTTGTCACTGACGACAAACTGCAGGAATAAAAAGAACCCTTGTAGTGTTGAGGTTAAACAGAATAGGAACGACATAGCTTGACTCTCCTGCATATGGGCCAGTATGCCAAAAATCCATGATATTCCCAAAAAGAAAAATAATACTATAGATAAACGCAGCTCCAAAAGTATCCTTTTGCGATCCTTGCGAACCCTGGATTCACTCTTAGTGCAGCGCAAAAAACACATGGTGTACACATATAAAGCGACATTGATGGTCACAACAGTAGCTATGGGTGCAAATATGCCGAAATAGAAGCTCCAACCAGATGGATAGCAAATATTACTGCTAACCAAACCGTTTTCCGAAAATGGTATATATGACTGCGGATTCACGAATGCCACGATCAATGTGGGCACCAATGGTAGGCCCCACGCAATTAACATATATATGACATTATCACATGTGCTTCGAATAGTTTCAGTGATTTGGGTATAGCGTCGATACTGAAACCTTGCCATTAGTAACAACCACATGAACAGTACCAAAATTAAATATTGCAAGAGGGCACCTTCCAGAATGCAATACTGCAGATTGTCGCGATTTATAAAGGACTGACGTATATCACCGATATTAATGAATAGGAAATATGCCATGATCGGCGTTAGGACCGCACAAATATTTAGCAGCAATAAATTCGATGCTTTGCGCCGCCATTGCGGACAACAGAGTGCTGTCATCCAAATGACAAATAATCCGAACAATGACAATATACAACCACAAATTGTTATTATGTCTTGGCCGTAGCCCAGGATGACATTGAGCACAGTCATATCAGTGGCTTTGACATATGACGCCTTCAAACGTAACAGAGCACCAAAATGTAAGTTTTTCACTTCACACACTGATGCATAATCCGATTTCGTGATGCTCAAATCACTTAAACTCCAAAAGTCATAATTGTAGGAGCCACAACCCATTGGTGTGGGGGTGTTCTCGGGTTCCGTTGTGCTGAATATATATGGTATAGGTAAGGGTAGGTCTTCTAAAAAAAAAACGATATCGGTAATTTAGATTAAATATAGGAAAATAATTTAGTTATTAAAATTGTAGTAGTAGTTTTTATAATGCGTAGGTATTATTAAAAGGTAATTATAACATTTAATATTCCTATTGACTTTTAACTACAGAATAAACGATCATAAGGGGATTTTAATTTTTTTTCAAATTACCAAATGGGGCTTGACTTTTTTAAAAAACCTTTTCAAAGTTCCAAAGGAGGCTTGGATTTTTTAAAAAGGGTTGAATTTTTTAAAATATTTTTTTCGAATGAGAGAGAGGAATTTTTAACATCTAATCGGTCAGGAGGGTGCAAATATAGCCAAATATTCCTCTGCCTCGGAATATATTTCCCCACGAAGTTAGAGTTCAGTGGCAGTTTGGTTCCGTGGTAATATGGTCAGGCTATTCCGACTACACAGATCCTCTCACTATTTTTTAGAAATTAATAATAATAGTTGTGCAGTAAATAATAATATTTTAACACAGTGGTTACAAACTTATCACAGGTATAATATTTCATGTATTTACCTCCATATCCTGGTACTGAGACTTTCAGCACAACACTATCCGGAGCACGATGTTTTCTTCCAACAAAGAAATTTCGATTTTTATATAAAGAAATCCGTATTGCATGTACCTGATTGTCTTCTTTCGGTTGCATATTTTGTAATTCTGCCCACGCATCTTCAGGAAAATAGACAGCATTCATAATAAATGGATCATAGATGAGGTCCTCCAATGATTCATTTAAACGAATATATTTGAAATAGGTGTTTGTGTGGTTGTCATAACGCATTTCCTCCGAACCCGATGACGCACTATATGTACCAATACCCGAGATGTTTGAACAGATTGGATAAATGTAAAAAACACTTGTCATATTTTCTATGAAATATTTGACGCCATCTGGTTGATCCGAACAATCCGTTGTGTTGGGCATAAACATTCTGGTCATATTGTCGTAGTAGGACTCAACGGTGCTTACGAGATTATTGGGGGTATTTGTTGGTAGCGAGTTGAGTACAGCACTCTCTTCGGATTGCATTAGCAGATCGGTGACTTGAATAAATTTTGATGCCATGGAGGGGGTTCGATCAGCGAATGTCATAATTTTCATTATATTTGTAGAAATCTCCAGATCACTGGCAATGCGTTTGTGGTCTTTTCGACCCAATATCTTAGTCAGCTCTGTGACCACTTTTTCGCTATTTAATGTTTGGTTTTCATTTTTCACCTCATGATAGAGTGTGTTCAGATCATTTGTAATAATTGTTTCATTGATCTCCTTCAAGCATTTCACGTTGCCATCCAACTTTTGCCATTCGGCCTTATATGTTTGTTTATTGTATATGCATTTTCGATTTAAGGATTGACCGCTGGAAAGCAAACAGATATCGAGAGGCATAGCCAATTCGTTCATGGCCGTGGCGGGCCATTTATTGGTATGCTTTTTATGAAATTTGTTCTTCATTATATAGTCATGTTCAAATGATTCCTCCTGACAACTGCGTTTTTTAATTATTTGACAATCCACGATATCTGTAAGAGTATAATCCCATGTTTGTGTTTTATCTCTCAGTTTTGTTGCACTACATTGATGTTGCAATGGAGGAATTCCTGTCTGGTAAGAGCATAGATCGGCAATTGGGTGTATGTCCTTCTTAGTTGTTGGAGACCATATGACAAGGGAGTCTATCGGGAAAATTGTGCCATTTAGTTTGTACGTATGAAATGTGGTGTCGTAAATATCTTTATCACAGAATATATCTTTTGACTGCACATTTGCCAATAGAACACTTAGGATTATGTAGAGCAATAGAGCCATTTTCCCGACAATGTCGAAATTAACAAAACACCGCGATATCATTGGGAAATTGAAATGCGACTAATCAATTCATTTCTCAACTTTTATATAGAAAAATATATCAGAGATACTTCTCAACACAAACCACAAGTGGCTTTAAAAATAAAGTACGATTAAGAAATTTAATATATATACATATAAATGTTACATCGCAGCCCCACCTTAATCGTCTATAATTACGTGTATATGTGTTTTTTTTAGGAACGTGCATGGTTTAGTTGACTGAAAGCCGATCCTAAACATATCCTCAAAAGTAAGTAACTACGGTTATATGTTTAATTACTTTGGCCTGTTACATACAAATGTACAACAACATAGTAACTCTGTTTGGTTTTCGATATAAATATTGCGATTGGGTTGACATCTCAGATCACACTTCGCCAATCAATGTCCAAGTGTAACTTGAGTGTTGCTTTAGTTCATATTTAATTTTTGTCAGGTTGAACGATCATAGGGTTATGACAATATTGTCTATAATCACATTTTTTGGAGTTACACTAATCAGATATATAATTGAAGTTTCAGATTGATATACCAGAGCGGTTCGGATACCTCTTAGCCTGTCAATGAAAGAAAATAAGTAGTTTCTCAAAAATATTTTTATTTTCCAATATAATCTCCTGAAACTTCAATACTCCTAGGCCAACGCTCTTCTAACAATTCTATTCTTTGATTAAAATGGTTTTCCTCAAGATCTTCAAAATAGTGGTCTACGACAGTAATTGCATCTTCATTTGAGGAAAAACGCTTGCCAGCAAGGAATTATTTTTAGAGTTGAGAACAAGTAATAGTCACTGGGAGCTAAATCATGTGAATAAGGTAGCAACTGGTACTATAATTCGTTGATTTTAGCCATTGTTAAAACACTCTTGTGCGGCACCCATCTTGCAGAAAGCCTTTTCATCTGCAGTTCTTCATGCAAAATTAAATGGACTCGATCATTTGAGATGCCCATGACATTAGCAATTTCATGAACTTTTATTCGGCGATCATTTAATACCATATCACGCACTTTGGCTACAATTTCTGTTGTTGTTGTTGCTGTTTTTGGACGTCCACTACGTGGTTCATCTTCAATGCTTGTACGGCCACGTTTAAATTCAGCAAACCCAATTATTATACCCTTCACCACACTGTGGTACAGGGAATTATGTCTTTGTGAATATATTTGCAACAGGTAAAGGAATCGAGGTAGATCCATGGTTCCATTTGAGAATATCGATTTACGCATGCCCGTCTGTCCGCCCGTCCGTCCATGCATTTTTGTGAGCAAAGTACAGGTCGCATTTATGGCACAGTTCACTTATTTGGCCCAAGGACGAAACCTATTGAAATTGGAGGAAATCGGTTCAGATTTAGATATAGCTCTCATATATAGTTTCGTCAGATCTTAACTAAATGATGCACAAAACTCCCAATATTTGTCCGATTCACCACTTTTTGTATGTCATATAGCCGGCCCCTCCTTTTTATACCCTTCACCACACCACACTTTGCATGTGTTCGTAACAGGCAAAAAAAATCGAGATAGACACATAGTCCCTTTTGAGAATATGCATAGAATCACTTTCTGAGTCGATTTGTCCGTCCGTCCGTCTGTCCATGTTAAATTGTAAACAAAGTACAGGCCGCATTTATGATCCGAATTGGATGAAATTTGGCACAGCTAATTCGTTTGGCCCAAGGACGAACCCTATTGAAATTGGGAAAAATCAGTTCAGATTTGGATGTAGCACCCATATATATTTTCGTCCGATTTATGGTAAATGGTGTACCATAGTCCTTATATATCTTTCGATTTGCACGAAATTTGGCATAGCGGACTGAATTAAGTCTAGAATGATGTGTGCAAAGTTTCGTGAAAATCGGTTCAGATTTAGATATAGATCCCCTATTTATATTCTCGTCCGATTTAAGGTAAATGATGTGTGCAAAGTTTCTTGAAAATCGGTTCAGATTTAGATATAGATCCCCTGTTTGTATTCTCATCCGATTTAAGGTAAGTGGCTTACCAAAGTCTCTACATATATTTAGATTTGCACGAAATTTGGCATAGTGTACTGAAATAAGTCTAGAATGATGTGTGCAAAGTTTCGTAAAAATCGGTTCAGATTTAGATATAGCTCCCATATATATTCATCCCATTTTAGGTAATTGGTGCACCAAAGTCTCTGAATGTCATTCGATTTGAACGAAATTTGTCATAGCGTACTGAATTAAGTCTAGAATGACGTGTGCTAAGTTTCGTGAAAATCTGTTCTGATTTACACAAAACGGTACAGATTGATTGACACGACGTACTGAAGAAACTGGAAGGTTTCTCTGAAATCGGTTCAGATATAGATATATAACAATCACGCGAAGTCTGTTAGGTTACATATGGAGAATATACCCAAAGTGGTGAAGGGTATCATATTGTCGACCCAGTTCGACTTTACTACTTTCCTTACTGGTTTAGAAGTTTCCGAAATGTTCTCGTAATAATTCTTTATTAGAGTTCAATTCCACTTCACTTTTTAGATTTTAATTCCACTTCAATGGTGTCTTCTGCCATTTCACTGAGATGAGTAAGAACCCTTTGATAGAGTTTAAGTGGAACGTTTGCAGCGCACTCTGGAACTCTTGTGCCATTCTTGCATTTATTCAGATGTCTGAACACAGGAGCATGTTGCGTACAATCGGTTTTTACCCATTTTATGTTGTCTTTGATTCCATATTGGTCCCGATCTTTCAAATTTCAATGAATAAATTTAAAGCTCACAATTCCGAAATAACACATTTGAATGACAAATTCTGGGCTGTAAATCACTTTACAGCAGTATTTATTTTAAAAACTATAAAGATATTTTGAAAATTATTAATATTTCGCAAATTATAAATATATGTAGTATTATTGTGAATAAATAATATATATTTTATCAATATCTAGAATACAATTTAATTTAACTGGCATACATATATAATTTATATAAATTTATTCTTAAATATTAACATCTATATAAATATTCTTCTATATTTCAGGATTAATGGGAGTTAATTGCGCCATTCCATTATCGGTTTTGGGAAAGTAATCTTTCGGAACAAAAAATCGCATCCAGGCGTATTGTGCATTTTTATCGACAACAACGAAATAGACAAACAACATTAGACCCTGCAATGTCGAGGTTAGACAGAAGAGAAATGAAAACAGTAAACTATCCCTGAGATGGGCTAATATTCCAAAACTCAACGACATAACCAAAAGAATGAACAACGTTATGGCCAAACGTATCTGGACGAGTAAATCTTTGCGATGTGTACTGTGGCGATAGGTTTTCAAACATTTTCTTAATTTGCAAAGGATATAAATTAAAATCGCAACATTCAATGCAAATAGAAGGGAAACAGGTAAGACTACAGTTAAATACAAACCAATACCCGATGGATAGCAAAGGGGCACTGAACCTTGTGGCACATACGATTTGGAATCAAAGGCAATAAGTAATGCAACGGGTATAATGGGTAGGCCCCATGCTGCCATCGCATATTTGGCCACAAAATTAGAGGAGCGTATAACGCCCACAATTGTCTTATAACGTTGATATTGTAAAATCACTATGAACAGCATCCACAGCACCAGTACCAGAATGGTGTACTGAAGAAATGCTCCCATCGCTACACAATGATAATTCTTATTGATGTCGACCACAACATTCCACACACTCGATATATTCATGATAAGAAAATACACCATAATTAGGGTGACAACAAAACTCAAATTCAACAAGAGCTGATTTGATGTACGCGAACGCCAATGTGTGCAGCACAAGGCCAGTGTCCACAAGCACAATAGACCCAACAGCGTTAAACCGCAACCGACAATAGAAACAAAATCGACAGTTGAGTCACCGAATATCGTGAGCACTGCCGGAATTTCGGCAACAGTTATATCATCTTCCACTCGTCTAATGGCAGCTAAGGGTCTCAGATGTGCCGTTTCGCATAGTAGAAGATTTTCTTGCAGAGCTTTTGATTCGCTATTTCTTGTCCATTTGTTATTTAAAAATGCTCCACATTGCGGATTTGATTCTGCATCGTTTTTCTTATAATGCACAATAAATGGTATTTTTTCCGATAAATCACCTGGAAAATAAAAGGAAGTAGTAGTAGTAGTGGTATAGACAAATATCGTTAATTATAACTTATAAATTATGAATAATAATTTTTTAATTATAACTTATATGTTATAAAATTATATATTATAAATTATGTATTATAAATTATAAATCATAACTTATAAATAAAATATTATATTATTAGCTTTTGCAAAATAGTCAGGCTTATATTATTATAAAATTATAAAATAACCAGTAAGGAAAGTAGTAAAGTCGGTCTGGGCCGATACCCTTCACCACTTTGGTTATATTTAGCAGATGCATCCTGCAGTACTTTTAACATGATTAAATTAAATATGATATCTGTATTTATATGTGAATCGACTAACATCAAACTGTTTACATGCCTATGCTAAATTTCATTTCATTCGGGCAGATTAAGAGTCGTATACGTACACTGGGACAAATTTATTTAAATTGATTTATAGCACACTTGATACACGCTACTCGGTATGCCGCACTGTTCAAAATTTAATCTCAATCAGACACCAGTTCGAATTATATATGAAACAATGCATCTGCACCAATTAAAACCAGTAAGGAAAGTAGTAAAGTCGGAATGGGCCGACGACTATATGATACCCTTCACCACTTTGGGTATATTGTACATATGTATCCTTACAATAGTATGTCAATGTTCTTCCGAAGGAACACGTCTTTGTTCTTTACTGAATTTAATTTCATTCGGGCAGATTTAGAAATTGATTTATAGCACACTTGATACACGGTACTCTCAATCAGACACCCGTTAGAGTTATATATGGAACCTATGCCGGCATCTGCACCAAGTTCAACAAAACGCAATGACGTCATTCAAGTCCCAATTTTGTTACATTGTCTAAAATTTCGAGTTAATCGGGCAAACATTATTAGTTTCGTGCACTATTTATTTAAAATCGGACGAATATATATGTATATGTGGGAGCTATATCGAAATCTGAACTATTTTATTCGAAACTTACCACACATCATTCTAGACTCAATTCAGTACGTTATGTCTAATTTCGTGAAACTCGAAGGATATATAGTGACTTTTGTGGGCCATTTACATAAAATCGGAATAAAATATATATGTGAGCTATATCTAAATCTGAACCGGTTTTCACGAAACGAAACAACATTCTAGAATTAATTCAGTACGCTATGCAAATTTCGTGCAAATCGAAAGTTATATAGGGACCTTGGTGAACCATTTATATTAAATCGGACGAAAATGTATATGGGGGCTATATTTAACTCTGAACCGATGTCTACGAAATTTAAAACACATCGTTCTAGACCTAATTCGGTACGTTATGCCAAAATTCGTGCAAATCGAAGGATATATAGAGTCTTTAGTGCACCATTTACATAAAATCGGACAAAAATATATATGGGAGCTATATCTAAATCGAATCGATTTCTACGAAAATGAAAAAAACGTCGTTCTAAACTTAATTCGGTACGTTATGCCAAATTTCGTGCAAATTGAAGGATATATATGGACTTTGGTGCACTATTTACATAAAATCGGACGAAAATATATATGGGTGCTATATCTAAATCTGAACCGATTTTTCCCAATTTCAATAGGGCTCGTCCTTGGGCCAAATTTATGAGTTGTGCCAAATTTCATCCAATTCGAATCAAAAATGCCACCTGTACTTTGTTTATAATTTAACATGGACAGACGGACGGACGTACTGTATAGTCGGACGTGGCCGACCATACGATACCCTACACAACTACCATGGAACTCCATCTTTCTGCGGATGTTTATTTCGAGCCTGGGCTATATTTCGATTAGAGATCAACAGCACCTCTCCCATACACTGACATATTTTCCGAATGTTCTTAACATTCAGTACAGCCCTGCTAATTACTTATCCAAATTCCCTTCACCTTGGGTTGTGTTGTGATGTTTGGCTTGTGGCCTATAAATCGACTTGAAAATACAAAAATATGTATATATATTTTTCGGTCCACTTCATCCCAATTTTGTTATGTGATCATCACCGAAAATTATTGGCGTTGTCCTTGACCACAACTGGAACCTCATGGAACATTTCAAAGCGATCAGCGCTATATTTCCGCCCTCTACTCTGGTAACGGTTTATTAAATAATATTTGAATACGTAAGCACCTGTAAATATTTACATGTAACTCCCACATCCGAGTACATACGACAATATAATTGTATAAATATAAAGGCCAAACACTCCTCTTGGATATACTATCAACTTCTCGGCTCTACGTCCTTCAGGAGTAAATATATACGCTATAGAAAACTAATTTTGTCATTTTTCACCCAAAAGTCAGGGTCCATTTGACCCGCTAAATATTGAACTATCTTTATCAAAACAGGCATGCTTATTCTTTGGCCCAATCCCCTTCTCCATGTAAAAATGAGATGTTTGGGCCATAATTGCGGCCTCTGGAGCGACTAGAAAAACCGAAAAAATTTAAGTATTTGGTCCATTTCATCCCCTAAATATTAACTGATCTTTACCAAAAACAATAGAGGTCTTCATTGGGCCAAACCTATCGTACATGCAAAATTTCGTGAAGATTGGTCCAAAATTGTGGCCTGTATCGTGTTTACAAATTATAATGGACAGACGGACGGACACACATGTCTAGATCGACTCAGCTAGTCGAGATATGACGATCGGTATACTTAAAGGTGGGCCTAGGACCAATATTTCGCGGCGTTACAAACTCTTGGGGCTGCACAAAGCTATAATACCCTGACAACATAGTTGTGTAGGGTATAAAAAATTAAATAATAAATTATAAATATACTTATATATAATTTATAAATTATAGATTATAAACTGATTAATATATATCTTAATTATTATATATCTTCATCGAACCTTACCATTATATCCCGGTATTGACATGGATATTACGTTACTATCCACTTGAAATCCACGGCCGTTGAACATGTTGCCATTCGTATACAACGATATTCGTATAATATCGAATTTATTATTTGCTGCATTATTTATGATTGTGGTTTGCCATGTCGTTTGTGGTATGTAGGCGATCAATTGAATATGTGGATCCACTGTGAGCTCATCGAGTGACTCATGCATATGCAAGTAGCGTATATAACTATGAAGATTCGCATCATAATACATATCTGCTGAGGGATGGGCCAATGTACTATATATGGCAATGCCACTCAAATTCGAACACAACGTATTTATAAAGAAAACACTAATTAGGTTTGTGGTGTGCCGATATACTCCATTTGGTATTAGACGACAATCGTGTTCCTCAAATGTTTTAAGGGCCATAGCGTCGAGATAATCGCTCAAAACATTAATTAAGGAATTGGGGGTCTGCAGTTCATGGGAAGCACGTATAACATTGGCCGGAGATTCCATTAACAGATTCACGGTATCCAGTGCATGCGGCAAATCGAGTGTATTTAGATTTTTTGATAAAATTGTTTTTAAAATGTGTGTGGAAATTTCCAAATCGGCTGGGATACGTACTGTTCCTGATTTTGCCAATAGATTTCGTAGTTTCGAAAGAATACTGCGGGCGTCGACTCCATGCGGAGGATTCTTGGCTTCATTTAGCAATGTATACAAATCAAATGTTATAATGTTCTCATTTATTCCCACCAGACAGCGGACATTCTCCAAATCCTTATTGTATTCCCAGGCGGCACCGTAGTCCTTGGCATTGTAAACACATCGCCTGGTGAATGGTAATCCTGTGGGTAGCAAACATGGTTCATGTGTTATCGCCAATTCATCCAACTGTGCCGATTGCCACCTATTTTTTATTTTCGTACGTTGTTTATTTTTTCCTATATTGTACTGTTGAAATTGTTCACCTTTACAGTTGCGATTAATTGCGGAACAATTGGCAAATTCATGGTGTTCGTCCACAATATCCCACGAGCCACTCACAGATTGTTCGCGGTAGTTGCAATGTCGGGCAAATTGCTGTCCATTAAGGCTGGAACATAATTCTAATTTCCGTAAAGATCTAGTTTTTAGGGGACTCCAAATGACCAGAACATCGGAATGTTTCTCCCCAATATATAATCGACTTTGATAGATATCCTTTTCGCAAAATTGTTCTGCTTTTAGCATGCAGAATTGGAGATACGATAATATAATTAATGACGGAATTAATTTCATTATGTTTAGTTGTGTACTTGTCACCAATAATACCGAACAAAGACTATTTCCTCAAATGAAAGTATTTGTCCGTCGAGACCGCGTAATATTTCTAAAATTGATGTTATTCGTATTTTGTGGTTACATTATTATACCCTACACAACTATGTTGTCAGCCCCAAGAGTTTGTAACGCCGCGAAATATTGGTCCTAGACCCACATTTAAGTATACCGATCGTCATATCTCGACTAGCTGAGTCGATCTAGACATGTGTGTCCGTCCGTCTGTCCATTATAATTTGTAAACACGATACAGGCCACAGTTATGGACCAATCTTCACGAAATTTTGCATGTAGGATGGGTTCTGGCCAATGAAGACCCCTATTGTTATTGGTAAAGATCGGTTAATATTTAGGGGATAAAATGGACCAGAAACTTAATTTTTGTCGGATTTTTTGGTCGCCCCAGAGGGCGCAATTATGGCCCAAACAATGCGAATTTTTACATGGAGAAGCGGATCGGGCCAAAGAATAAGCATGTCTGTTTTGATAAAGATCATCAATATTTAGCGGGTCAAATGGACCTGACTTTGGTGTGAAAAATGACTAAATTTGTATTCTATGGCGTTTATATTTACTACTTGAAGGACATAGACCCGAAATGTTGATAGTATATCCAAGAGTTGTGGTTGTCCTTTAAATTGATACCAATTATATTGTCGTATGTACTCGGATGCGGGATTTACACTTAAATATTTACAGGTACTTACGTAATCAGATCTTATTTAGTAATCCATTACCACACCAGAGGGCGGAAAAACAGGTATGGTCAAGGATAACACCTATAATTTTCGATGATGATCAGATAAAAATATTGTCATGAAGTGGACCGAAAACTTATTTTTTTGTTTTTTTCGAGTCGATCTCTAGGCCACAATTGAAAACCGAACATCACAACACAACCCACGGTGAAGGGAATCTGAACAAGTAATTAGAAGGGCTGTACTGAATATTAGCAATATTGGTTGACCTCTAGTCGGTCAAGAAGTTGCAAACATCGAAATATGGCCCAAGCTTAGAATAAAGAACAACACAAAGTTAGATTTCGGTGGAAGTTGTGTAGGGTATCATATGGTCGGCACGGCCAACTATACTGCTCCGCTCACTGGTTTTTATTGTATATGTGGGTGAATAGGGTATAAACAACAACACACACAAAGAGATAACTGCAGGCATTTAATAACTGAATAAGTTGAATTAACGAGGTCTAAAAAAAAAAACAGCTCAAATCGGTGTGGACTTTTCTGGGCGTAAATATTTGGAACGGTTTATTAATTTGACCTAAAGACGAGTCCTATTGAAATTGTTTGGAATCGGTTCAGATTTTGTTAAAGGTTATATGTAAAGTCTTCATTTTGTAATTTAAATTTCTAAGAGTATAAACAAACGACCAGCAGACAATTAACAATGAAATTGACTCAATATGAATGTCCCAACTTTTTAAAGAAATATTGAATGTTCAATTCGCATGATATTATAAAGACCAATTAGCACAATTTTGACCATTTTGTGTGTGAGTTACCAGAAGAACTGCATCGATTTTTTTCATATTCAAATGGATCAAATCGGACATTATATTCCCCCATTATTTGTTTTATAAATATTGAAAATGTTGATCATTTATGGGGAAGGTATCAAAAGGAGTGGACCAATGGGTCCCATATTCGAACTTGATCTAGAAAATAGGTTGTGAAAAGTTTGACTTCAATTTTAAGCACAATTGTGACTATTTTGTTTGGAGGTACAAGAAGGAGTGAACCAATATATCCCGTGTTAGAACTTGATTTAAGGTTGGTAGGAATATTATGATGTACAAACTTTAGATGAAATCGGTTACACAAAGAGACAAACGGACTTGAAAATATGTTATGTAAAAATCGCACCTATGATGAATCATGAACAGATATGTTTTATACCCTTCACCACACTGTGGTATATGTTTGTACCAAGCAAAAGGAATCGAGATATGCACATGGTTCCTTTTGAGAATATTCATAGAATCACTTTCTAAGTCGATTTATGCATGTCCGTCCGTCCGTATGTCCATGTTAAATTGTAAACAAAGTAAATGTCGTATTTATCATCAGATTTGGACGAAATTTGGCATAGGTCACTTATTTGGCTCAAGGAATAACCCTATTGGGAAATTGAGAAAAATCGGTTCAGATTTAGATATAGCTCCCATATATATTTTCGTCCGATTTAAGGTAAATGGTGTAATATATATCTTTCGATTTGCAAGAAATTTGGCACAGCGTAATGAATTAGGTCTTGAATGATGTGTGTTGACTTTCCTGAAAATCGGTTGAGATTTAGATATAGCTCCCATATATATTTTCGTCCGATTTAAGGTAAATGGTGTACCAAAGTCCCTATATATCTTTCGATTTGCACGAAATTTGGCACAGATTAATGAATTAGGTCTTGAATGATGTGTGTTGACTTTCCTGAAAATCGGTTGAGATTTAGATATAGCTCCCATATATATTTTTGTTCGATTTAAGGTAAATGGTGTACCAAAGTCCCTATAGCACTAAAGACCCAATGTTTGTCCGATTGCCACAAAATGTATGCCGTTTGCTGCAAAATTTTGCAGAACGTACTGAAGTTAATATAACCTAGCGTGTGGAAAGTTTTGTTGAAATCGTTTCAGATTTGAATAGAGCTCCGATATATATTTTCTCCCGATTTTAAGTAAATGATGCACCAAGAACTGATAATGTGGGTCTTGAATGATGTGTGTTGACTTTCCTGAAAATCGGTTGAGATTTAGATATAGCTCCCATATATATTTTTGTTCGATTTAAGGTAAATGGTGTACCAAAGTCCCTATAGCACTAAAGACCCAATGTTTGTCCGATTGCCACAAAATGTATGCCGTTTGCTGCAAAATTTTGCAGAACGTACTGAAGTTAATATAACCTAGCGTGTGGAAAGTTTTGTTGAAATCGTTTCAGATTTGAATAGAGCTCCGATATATATTTTCTCCCGATTTTAAGTAAATGATGCATCAAGAACTGATAATGTGGTCGATATCCACAAAGCATTATGACATTATTATAACCTAAACTTTGGCAAGTTTCTATGAAATCGGTTCAGATTTTTATATAGCTTTTATATATTTTTTCGTCCGATTTTAAGTAAATGGTTCACCAAACTCCTCATGTTTATCAGATATTTATCCAAATAATCAACGGGTGTCCGATCGATATTTGCTTAAAATGATTTACATAATTTTGTTCTATTGTAAGAAGCAACTCTATATCTGATTGAAAGAAAATTTTAGTATTGGTTGCAGAGGACATGTTTATGGATCCAATTTCATGTTAATGGTCCTTCGAAAATATGACAAGGTGGTGAAGGGTATCATATAGTCGGCCCCGTCCGACTTTACTATTTCCCTTACTGTTTTTATACCCTTCACCACACTGTGGTACAGGGTATTATGTCTTTGTGCATATGTTTGTAACGGGAAAAAATAATCGAGATAGACCCACGGTTCCTTTTGAGAATATGCATAGAATCACTTTCTGAGTCGATTTATGCATGTCCGTCTGTCCGTCCGTCCATGTATTTTTGTTAACAAAGTACAGGTCGCAGTTATAATCCGATTTGAATGAAATTTGGCACAGGTCACCTAATTGACCCAAGGACGAACCCTATTGAAATTGGAGAAAATCGGTCCACGTTTAGGCATAGCTCCCATATAAGGGTACCCCCAAATTTTCGGTATTTTGAGGTTCTTGATCGCGTTTTTTACATGAATTAGCTGAAATTTGGTACTTTGAGTTCTTATAAGGTAGCAAATCTCTCCACTAAAAATAAATATGGGTCCATTTTTCGGATAGCCCCCATATAAGGGTACCCCAATTTTCGATATTTTGGGGGTTTTGATCGCATTTTTCTACCGAATTCGCTGAAATTTGGTACTTTGAGTTCTTATTGGGTAGCAAATCTCCCTACCAAAAATTAAAATAATGGTCCATTTTTTCGGGTAGCCCCCATATAACGGTACCCCCAATTTTCGGTATTTTCGGGTTCTTGGGCTCGTTTTATAACTGAATTCTCTGAAATTTTGTACATTGGGTTCTTATTGTGTACCAAATTACTCCACTAAAAATTATAAATATAGGTCCAGTTTTTCTGGTAGTTCCCATATAACGGTACCCCCAAATGTTTGGTATTTTGGGGGTTCTGATCGTATTTTTCCACAGAATTGAAAGGAAACGAGATAGACACATGGTTCCTTTTGAGAATATGCACTTCACTTATTTGGCCCAAGGACGAACCCTATTGAAATTGGGAAAAATCGGTTAAGATTTACATATAGTTCCCATATATATTTTCGTCCGATTTTATGTAAATGGTACACCAAAGTACCTATATATTTTTGGATGTGCACAAAATTTGGCATTGGATTCGGAATAAAGCCTAGAACGACGTATGTTAAATTTCGTGAAAATCGGTTCAGATTTATTTATAGCTCCCATATATATTTTCGTCCGATTTTATGTGAAGTTCCTATATAACCTTCGATTTGCACGAAATTTGGCATAGGATTCTGAATTAAGCCTAGAACGATGTGTGTTAAATTTCGTGAAAATCGGTTTAGATTTAGAGAGAGCTCCCATATATATTTTGTCCGATTTTATGTAAATGGTGCGTGCACCAATGTCCCTATATATCCTTCTATTTGCACGGAATTTGGATTTATAAGTAAATGAAGAACTCAAAATGTGGCCGAACATGTGACAAGTTTCGATGAAATCGGTTTAGATTTCGATATTTTGCTTTTAATTTATTTACATAATTTTGTCCCATTGTAAGAAGCTACTGTAAATCTGACCAACTTTTAGTATAGGTTGCAGAATGACATGCTTAATTTCATGTTAATGGTCCTTCAAAAATGCGACGTCTGTTAGAATCCCATCTATTGAATATACCCAAAGTGGTGAAAGATATCATATAGTCGGCCCGTCCGACTTTACTACTTTCCTTACTGGTTTTAATTAACAAATATGATGCCTTGAAAAATATTTTTTTAAAAACGCCTATGATTCCCTGAAAAAATATTTTAAAAATATACACGCCTATAGCGGGCCTTACAAAGTCAACTCATATTTTTTCGCCCTAAAAATATTTTATAAATATCCACGTCTATGGCGTCATTTATTTTTAAAAACCACGGCCATATGAGACATTTAAAAATACACGCCCATGGTGGACATTATTCTTAAAAATAACACTCCCATATCCAAGGCTATTGTGGCCTTTATTAAAAATTCCACGCCTATGTTGGCATTTATTAAAAATTCCACGTTTTTGCTGGCCTTTTTAACACGTTGACGGACAGTAGAATCAAGTGAAATTCGAAAACATGACACTAGGCTTCTACTTGTACGCTGGTAAATGCACATTTGTGATGCTACAGCCGTCATGTCACATAGTGAACTTGAACTTGACGGCTATAGAAGCAACTGTCCGTCAACGTGTTAAAAATTCCACGCCTATGCTGGCCTTTATTCTTGAAAATACCACGCTCATATCTGACGTCAAAAAATATTCCTAAAAAATCCACGCCCATTGAGATAATATGTTAGGCCTTGAAAAAATATTTTTTAAAAAGTCCAGGCCTTATGTTAGGCCTTGAAAAAATATTCTTTACAAAATCCACGCTTTATGTTAGGCCTTGAAAAAATATTCTTTAAAAAGTCCAGGCCTTATGTTAGGCCTTGATAAAATATTCTTTAAAAAATCCAAGCTTTATGTTACGCCTTGGGTCCAAGATGTTGTAGTGGCTATTCAATGTAGTAAATTCCCGCAAATGGGTGTTACCCATCCTTGGGATATTTACCCCTCAAATACCATCTCTAGGCTAATAACAAATAAATAAAACAATATCTAAATTATTAATTATTATAATTTTATTATTTATACTTTATTAATATCTTAAACATAATCGCTTAATAAATTACATAATAACATAATATATAATACACATGTAGAAAAATTATTATTTGTTCATAGATTTATAAAACATATTTTTTTTAATAATTGCTGGCATTTAAGTCTTATTTTATTGTCTCTTTAAACCTGTACACTATGGACAATTATGCTAGTTTCAAAAACATTCCGTTCTAGCCTTCAGTCATAATCTCATCACAATCCAGAATTTCCTGGCGCTCTGTGAACATGTGAATGTTCCATCTGACTCAACTCCAAACCATTTGAAGTTGATGCCGTAGACATTGACTGCAATTCGGTGGCTTTCTTTTGTGCCTTAAGGGCACGCTTGGGACATAATACCTGTTGCCAACATTTACGTGAATTTTCATCCAAAATTACAAAATAAACAAACAGGACGAAGCCTTGTAATGTTGCCGTCAGACAGAATAGATACGAGAATACCAAACCCATTTTCATGAAAGCAAAAATACCAAATATCCACGATAGACCCAATAGGAAAAATAATAATATCGACAGACGAATTTGTTTAATAATCAATTTCTTTTCTGTACGCTGCATTGCCATACTTAAACTGCGTGATATACTAAAGAACACGTAGACAAAGATGGCCAAATTTGCAGTAACAATTAGAGAGACAGGTAATATAACGCCAAAGTGTAAACCATTACCAGACGGGTAACAAATCCCTGTATCGGTTACAAGTTCATAAGTGGATGGTACATATGACTTCGGATCAATGAGAGCCACCAGCAGGGTTGGTATCAACGGTAGACCCCAGGCCAAAATTGCCGATTTCGCAATATAATGTTTTGGCCTCTGAATACCAATTACCGTCACATAACGTTGAAATTGTAAAAATGCTATCAACAACATCCAGGTGAATAAAACCAACAACGAGTACTGCAGCAGAGCACCCAAAAATACACATTTCGTATAATCACGTTCATCCACCAATGACTCGGATACATCATCCGTATTGACAAATAGGAATAGAACCATTTGTAATGTCAATGCCACACACATATTCAGCAGGATCTTATTCGATGCTTGTGCACGCCAACTTTTAAATAAGGCCGCTGTAATCCAAATACCCATTAGACCCAATAGCGAAAGACTGCAACCAATTAGGGAAATTATATCGAGAGCTTCCATATGTACGGAGGTGATTAGAATTTCATCGGTAAGATCGTTTTGTTTAAAACTGCCACCAATCAAATAGGAGAATTGTGTCAAATGACTGGTATAGCAGAGCACCAGGGGGATGTGATGGGCACTCGCAGATTCACTTGTTGTTTGTACACCACCACTGGTCCATGTACTATAATTCCAATAACCACAACCTGAATTGGGGTTTGTATCAAAACTGGTTGCCGCTGTTGAATGTTGTCTCAGTAGAAATGGTAAATTTTCCGGTAGGGCATCTGAAAAGAAATGACAAAAATATTATTAGAAAAGGTTTCGATTGATTTATAGGTAATATAAATAAATAAATTGGTAGCCCGGCCGGACCGAACTTTTTATACTCAAAATTTTTGTAAATAAAAAGGGACGTTCCACGATCAATTGCTGTCACGCGAAAATACTATAAAAACTCAGGTTGGATGAGGACCTTGAAATACCGGAAGCTATGTCGATACATGGGCTTTTTGAGAGAAGAAATTGTTAACTCCGTAATGACAAAATATAGTGTCATTAACATAAGTGAAAACGTATATTGAATAATGCGCCTTTATATGGTGGTTAAGGGAACCCCACCCATTCTCGATTTTAATTTTTCACGATTTTCAATGGGCTGGTAAATCAATACCAATGCTTGTTAAGGTTTGTAATTTTGCACATATATAATTGAAGATTTAAAAGAGAAGAAAAATAATTAAAAAAAAAAATTTGTTATTGTTTTGTTGTTGTTTTTTGTAATCAAAGAAAAGTCCTTATTTTTGATGGCGGGCATGATAACTCCTCACTGGAACATCGGAATCCGAAAATTCCAACGGTGTTAGAAAGAGTACATGTCTGGCTCTCGTATGAACTAGGATTATTGACTTCGCTCTAAAATTAACAAAATGGTGGACCTTTGAAAAAATATTTTTGGAAAATCGCCGATTTTTTACCAAAAAACCAAGTTAAAAAATAAGGAAGATCTTCACCGATTGGCTTTATCCTAGTTCATACGAGAGCTATACACTCCCAGAGGAACGTTGCAAAATTTGGAACCGATTGGATTATTAGCTTTTGAGTTATCGTGCCCGCCATTCGCAAAAAAATGTTTAGAGAAAAACGCGTTTAAAGTTTGAGAAGCCCTTCAGCCGTCACTTGAAGCTGACACAATAAATCGGATATATTGAGATTTTCACTTGAAATTTTGTAGAGACATTCTTTAATCAGTGTAGATTCGAATTATATCAACAAAAAATTTGGCCCCGAGAATGGGGCGGGGTCCCCTTAAATCCAAATATCGACCAATATTAATAGGAAGATTTTCCACCCAATGTGAACTCAAAATGTCAAATTAGAGAAACTCGGTTGAAAAATATTACTTAGAAGGCTATTTCGACTACTAACGCGATGCTTGGTGACAACGCAAAGCAGATTAAATTTGTGACCACAAATTGAATCAATTTTTCGGTTAGAACAGATTTTTTCAGACACTGACCGTTTCCTCTTCTCGGTGGATTTTAAAAATCACTTCAATATTTGTTATTTGAATGTTCAAGATTGTGTTTGAAAATTTGAAGAAGACCTTGGACATCATGCTTCACCTTAGTATGGAGTCTATGTAGAAACATCAACTTATATTGGAAATATTACGAATGTCAAATACAACTACTTCGTAATGCTAAAGGTCTTGGTGGATTTGATCCGCTGAATCAACTACAGTATTTCTAATTAGCTGGTCAGACACCCTCATACATGCAATGTTCTTCTTGTGGCCTATAGAGCGACTTGAAAAAACATATAGAAATTACGGTTTGGTCTATGCCAACTTCTTAATATCGTCCGATCATCTCCAAAAATTATAGGTGTCGCCCTTGCCATAACCGCAACTTCGGGTAAAAATAGATATATCTATGTAAAAATTTACGTATAATTCCACACTCGAGTACATACAACAACAACAACTGGTATTAATCTAAAGGTCAACCATCTGGAGTCTATATCCCGCAGAAGTAAATATATTCTCCAAAGGATACACATTTTGTCATTTTTCACACAAAAGCTTGGGTCAATTTGACCCACTAGATATTACCGATCTTCATCGAACGGTCGTGCTTATTCCATGGTCAGGCTCCTCAATCTGTGTAAAATTTCATGATTTTCGGGCTATAATTGCGGCCTCTGAAGCAACCAGAAGCCGTTCTACAGACGATCTACAGACGATCACACATGTCTAGATCGATTCAGCTGGTCGAGATATGATATGATCGGTATAATATAGATGTGACTAGGAACAACATTTTGACAACATAGTTGTGTAGGGTATAAGTATGGGTTTATACAAAACAATTCTTTGCAACGATGATTCACCATATCCACCATTTTTTTTATAAGAGACACAAATGTCACTAAGGATAAATAGCAAAAATTAGGCAGGTCTGCTTTATGTATTTACAAACATTGACCTATTGACAATTTTCTGTGTAGAAGTATTTTTCTTTCGATTCCAAAATGCAGCGAAACCCCTCAAAATGCCGAAAATTGGGGTCAATGTCGAAAGATTTTAGGTCATATAATTATCACTTCAGCGCGGTTGTACTCTAGGCTCTAAAACCCCGGAATTCCTAATTAGAAGCTTTTCGGTTAGAAAATGTGACTGGAAAGCTCAAAATACCAAATCTTTATATACCAAATATGTCCTGTGATGATGTATGCCAGCCTTAAAACCAGTGAGCGGAGCAGTATAGTCGGACGGGGCCGACCATATGATACCCTACACAACTACTACGAACAGCCTGGGCAATATTTCGTGATATTTACACCCTTTTACCGATTATAGATCAACAACCCCTCTTTCTAAGTCTTGCATATTTTCCAAAATGTTTTTTCTTGAAGTGAATTTTTACGACATACAATAAAAATTGGTCACTTTAGGTTTTGGTTGATTTGACACTCGGAAAATTGACCGATCATCATCTAAACAACCGCTCCCAGTATTTGGTCAGATCTCCTTCACCTTGTAAAATATGTGATGTTCTGTATATAATAATTGCCTCTAGAGCGACTAGAAAATCTGGCAAAATTAAAGTTTTCGGTTCATTGTACGCCTGAATGAAATCTCAACTTCACCGAAATTTATAAGCGTCGTCCATGACCATAATCGGAACTTCATGTACAATTTCAAAGCGATCAGCGCGAGATTTCCGTCCTCTAATAATACGCACATAGTCGCCTTTAATTAATTACGTATAACTCCCGCATCGGAGTACATACAGCCATATAATTGGTATCAATTTGAAGGTCAACAACTCATCTTGGAAATACTATCAACATCTCGAATATATGTCCTTCAGGAGCAAGTATATACGCCCCAGAATAAAAAATTTGTAATTTTTCACACAAAAGTCAGGGTCCATTTGACCTGCTAAATATTGACCGATCTTTATCAAAACAGGCATGCTTATTCTTTGGCCCGATCCCCTTCTCCATGTAAAAATTCACGATGTTCGGACCTTAACTGCGGCCTCTGGAGCGACCAGAAAAACCGACAAAAATTTGGTATTTGGTCCATTTCATCCCCTAAATATTAACCGATCTTTATCAAAAACAATAGGGGTCTTCATTGGTCAGAACCCATCCTACATGCAAAATTTCGTGAAGATTGGTCCATAACTGTGGCCTGTATTGTGTTTACAAATTATAATGGACAGACGGACGGACGAACACACATGTCTAGATCGACTCAGCTAGTCGAGATATGACGATCGGTATACTTAAAGGTGGGTCTAGGACCAATATTTCGCGGCGTTACAAACTTTTGGGGCTGCACAAAGCTATAATACCCTGACAACATAGTTGTGTGGGGTATAATTAATTATTATAAATTCAGTTCCATTGTATTCCAGCATATAAACTTCCGAAATTCCAAAATTAGAGCTTCTTCGGTTACAAAATGCGACTGAATTCTTAAAATACCGAAAATTAGGTGGATTTTATATATGTGAGGAATGCAAAAACATGGACCTATAGAGGTAATTTTCTGCGTAGCTGCATGCCAGCCCCAGACCTATAATGATTATTTATTTTTTTTTTATTTTCAGAGTCATTTCGTATGGAAATTGGCCACCCTCACATGGGGTCTTTGTCGAACCATGGACCTATAATGATCATTTTCTATGTAGATGCATGCCAGCCCCCAAAACCCCATTTGCTGTTGGAAAATGGGGCTAAACCCTAAATCAAAATACCCACAATTGTTCGGGGTTTTATATGGGAGATTTCGAAAAGCATGGACCTATACGGATCATTTGCTAGGCTGGCATACATCTAGGCAGCCCCTAAAAGCTGGAAACGCCAAATTAATGCATTTTCGTTTGGATAATGCGGCAAACCCTTCAAACAAACCATAGACCTATGGTCAAAATTTTGCGGGAAACTAATTTTATAACATCACGCCAAAGCAGTATTCAATTTGAGCCAAGCTTTGCATTAGTATCTCCCCTCAAAGTGCCAGTATTTTGAAAACTTGTAAATCTCACATTTAGCGAACGGAATATCAAGTTTCATTCAAACCTTGCACATCCTAATATTTATAACAAGCCTATATAAAGTCCGAATATTGGTCCAATCTTTCTGATACCTCCCCCACAAAGTGTCAAAATAAAATATTAAGCGAATTGAATTTTCGATTTAATCCAAATTGTAAATATCATATGAAGCGAATGGAATATCCAAATTTCATTAAAACTTTTAACATCTTAATATTTTTAACAAGCAAAGATAAAGTTCGAAGTGGATATTCATCAGTCTACTATTTCAGGTACCTCCCCAATAAAGTGTTCAATATTAACTGAATGGAACGTCAGATTTAGGACGTTTACAAACTTCTAGAGGTATCTTAACTATGTTTGATGTATCCCAAAGATATATGTACTTCGACGTCTTTAAACTCACGTCAGGGGATCTCCACACCTTTCGTAAATATTATAGCTCTCAGAGGCATTTTATGTTCTAGAACATATTCACTTCATCTCTAAACCTGCATAGTTTACATTAGACTAAGAGAATATATTTTATATCGACAGATGGCGTGGACCATAAAATGTCTTCTAATTTGAGATACTATCCCTGAGGCCTCCTATTTAAATACAAACGAAATAACAAAATTAATATACTTTTCATGTTATGGTTGAACATTTATAAAAAATTATTCCAAATAACCCTTTACTTCATCTACTCACCTTCATATCCCGGTATTGAAATGGATAAAATTTTACTAAATGGTTTCCTCATACGCAATATATTTGAATCCACAAACAGACCATCATGGGCATAAACCTTAAAAACAATTACCGGTGAACGTTGTGACAGTGACAGGTGTACCATTAAATGTTGCCACATTCGCTGCGGTATAAATGAAGCCAGCTCTAAATCTGTATCGTGTAACAGCCCCTCTACCGTTTCATTCATGTAGATAAAACGATAATGGAAATCATTAAATGAATCATAATTCAATTCTTTGGAATGTGACGCAGCAGTTAGTTTTGATGGATAGATGGCAATGCCCGAAATGTTAGCACACAAAGGGTTAACAAAGAATACGCTTATATTTCCGCTGATATGAGCGTAAATACCATTGTGAAGGTGTGAATTAAGTACTTCCACTGCCGGCAGTGCAGGCGATGACGATAAGTTCTTATCAACGTTGGGATTTTGTGTTATGACATGCCGCATTGTTGTTGGATTGCGACACTGCTGCTCGGACACAAACTTATCACCTATCGTATCCATGTATGACTCAAAAGTGTCCAACAGTGAATTTGTGGCATTCAATTCGGCAGACATACGCAGAACCATGGGATCACTGGCCATCAGATTGTGTGTAATCTGCAACACATCCGAGGACAGTTCAATATCGGGTGTTTCAGCAATCAACGATTTCAGAATTTCCTTTGTCAGATGAATATCGGCTGGTAGGCGACGTTTTGAGGGACTTTCAAGTATTCTGATGAGATTGCGTGAAGTTTGTAAACGTGTCATGGGGTCATTGGTACGGCTGCGAGATGTTACATTACCAAGTAGGGAATTTAATTCATTGCTAACGATTTGTTGTTCGGTAGTTCTTAAACATTTGAAATCTACAAATTTTCGTGGTAAAGGTTCCCATTCGGCACGATAGCTTTTCGGATTGTATAGACAACGGCGGCTCAATGGCAGGCCGTTTGGTTGTAGACAAATATCTTCTAAGGTGGCTGTTTCATAAATTCGTGTACGCTTCCATACGTTGATGTGAGGTGTCAAACCTTCACCCTGAATAAAATTATGGTGAAATTCTTCGGCCGCACAGAACATACTGCGATGACATTGGATCATAACAGTGCTATTATCGGCTGCTTCCCATACGGCACCCTGCTGTGATGGTGATAGAAAGCAACGTCTTCGCAACGGCAAACCGGTCTGGGCTGAACACATATTCGGCAAGACAGCGTTCTCCCCCACCTTAGTTAGATTCCAGGTTACCCACAGCATTTGGGTTTGATTATTGTCCGTTATGAATTCATAGAAATATTGTTCCTCATTACAAAAGAGGAAAGTTTCGAGGCTGGGTAAAATGGTGGGCAGGCGGGAGGTTGTAGTCGAAGTACTTCTTGTGCTGGAATCCTCTTCACTATCATCAATAATTTTGGGTTTCAAATGCCCCTGTGGTATTATCGTTTTCGCATTTGCCTGACCGGCCAAACCCCACAGAAATATTAACCACAACAGTATCTTCATTTTATCAGACGTGAAAATCATATTTAACTTTAATAAACACGATTTTATTATTTTAACACATAATATTTATTATAATTATTCTATTTTTTTGCCATACTACAATAATTGATGTATTTATTTATTTGCTTATTTGTTTGTTTTTCTTATTTTTTTTTTTTTTTTTTTTGAATCTAACGTTTCGTTTGCCAATATCGTATCGACCGACACTCTATATGCACCGTCCGTTCAATTTCACAGTCGAACACAAAACAACATTCCCCGTCCGCTTAGATTTAATTACTAATTGAACAATTTCAATTTTCTTGAATTCAGCCAGAACAAAAAAAAAAACTAAAATAAAGAGAACGAACACAACATGAGACATATTTACTTTGATTCATCAATAGCACCAAAGTTGCCAATACCACCACCGTCGCCACCAACAACCATCAACTACCATCATCACCATTGCTTATCACTCCCATATTCATCGATAAGTGGCGGACTCTTGATAAAAAAAAAACAAAAATTCTATATGGCAGCGCAACATTTTAATTCAAAAACATACAAATGTACATACATACGTACGAACATACATATCTATAAATACAGGTATGCACGTTGATCTGTAAACATTAAAAAATTCTGTTGTTGAGCACTTGACATATATGAATGAATGTTTATTGGGATGTGACGAAAAATTTAAAAAAATTGTTTTGAGATAAATTCACGCTTCTGGTTGTGTTGTAGAAATATTGTTGAATTTTAAATAATTTATTTTTCAATTACAATAGCGTTAAATTTACGCTTATGTGGTCAGCGATTTTTTAAACCATTTACCACACTATGGTACATTGTATTAGGTTTTTGTGCATACGTTTCTAAACAAATCAATATAGACCAATAGTTACTCTTAATGATATTCATAGAATCACATTCTGAAACGATTTATGGATATCCTTCCGTCTCACTATGGGCCAGAGATCCAATTTGTTGGTCATAATTAGAGCAGTGGGTGGATCGAAAATGGCGGTCATATATTTTAAAAGTTAAATTAATAAAATTATTTTTCAACACGTTTTGTAGTGCTTTATACCCTTCACCACACTGTGGTACAGGATATTATGTCGTTGTGCATATGTTTGTAACAGGCAAAAAAATCGAGATAGACCCATAGTTTCTTTTGAGAATATGCATTGAATCACTTTCTGAGTCGATTTATGCATGTCCGTCCGTCTGTCTGTCCGTCCGTCCATGTATTTTTGTGAACAATGTACTGGTCGCATTTATAATCCGATTTGGCTGAAATTTAGCACATGCCACTTATTTGGCCCAAAGACGAACCCTATTTAAATTGGGAAAAATCGGTTCAGATTTAGATATAGCTCCCATATATATTTTCGTCCGATTTAATATAAATTTAAGTGCTCCAAAGTCCCTATATACCTTTCGATTTGCACGATATTTGGTATAGCCTACTGAATTAGGTCTAGAATGATGTGTGCTAAGTTTCGTGAAAATCGGTTCAAATTTAGATATAGCTCCCATATATTTTCGCCCGATTTTATATAAATGGACTACCAAAGTCGCATATATCTTTCGAATATGAAACTATGAATGAAATTGTATTTTTCATGTATCAAGGTTCTGAAACTATGGCATACATTATTAAATTTGAATTATAGTCATATGGTTGAAGAATGTGCTCAAAATTCTGAAAGTTTCGCAATTATAATTCGAAATATCAATTTACAAGCAATTTGGGTGAAAAACGCGCTCAAAATGTACAAAAAACAAAAATTAGGGGGTTCCGTTATATGGTGTTTACCACAAATAGTGTAGCAAAATTTATATTTTTTGGTAAGAATATGTGTTTAATGGTGAAACGCCTAGAAATATTCGTCGACGAATAAAATTCTATGTCGATTTTCGTTTGTCCGTATATCACGATAGATATCGCAATGTTTAAGGTACAGCTCTGAAGTTTTGCACAGACGTTGCTAGTATTTTGGTAATTTGGGCTATCATTGAATAACACGTATCCATACCAAAAACCAGCATATATATATATATATATATATTATTCACCACTTTGGGTATACTCTACATATGTAGCCTAACAGACGTCGCCTTTTCGAAGGAACATTGACATGAAATTGAACGAACTTAAACTTATTAGGCGTACAATCAAAATGAATACGTCGAAATTATATATGGGAGCTATATCTAAATCTGAGCCGATTTCAAGGAATCTTGCCAAAGATTAATTTATATTATTTTCAGTACGTTGTGTCAATAGGCCTACATATGGGTCTTTACTGCACCATTTACTTATAATCGGACGAAAGTATATAGGATCAATATGTAAATCTGAACTGATTTCAGGAAAACTTGAAACGTGAAAGGTTATAGTAACATCAGTACATTGTACAAAATTGTGTGCCGGTCGGCCAAACTTTGGGAGCTATATCTTAGTCTGAACCCATTTTAACGAAACTTAGCACACATCATTCTGGACCTAATTCACTACCCTATGCCAAATTTCATGCAAATAATCAGATATATAAAGACTTTGGACCCCTATTTACCTTAAATGGGACAAACATGTATATGGGAGCTATATATAAATCTTACCCGATTTTCTCGAAACTTAAAACACAACATTCTGGACCTAATTCAGTACACTATGCCAAATTTCGTGCAAACTTAAAGATATATAGGGACGTTGGTGCCCTATTTACCTTAAATGGGGACGTTGGTGCCCTATTTATCTTAAATCGGACGAAAATATATATGGGAGCTATATATAAATCCGAAATCCGATATAAAGCCCAATTCATTTATGCCAAATTTCGTGCAAATCGAAGGATATAAAGGAACATTGTTCTAAGTACCTAAAATCAATTTTCATTAAATATATGCACAAAGAATTTCTGTGCAAGTGTGGTGAAGGGTATAAAAATATACCCATTGGCATTGAAAAATATTGTTTAAAAAATCCACGATTCTGGTGTTCGTCAAAAAATAGTTCTTAAAAATCCACGCTTCTGTTTGGCATTGAAAAAAAAAAAAAAAACATTAATTTTTGCTCTCACGGTACAGATCGTATATGTTAAAACATTGCAAAACATGCGACATAATGTTGAGTTCGACGCAGAACTGTGATTGTATTCGTACTTTCCCAAAGCGCCCACGGGCGACTGTTTGGTAAATTTTGGTCTAGATCGACTCAGCTAGTCAAGAGATGACGATCGGTATACTTAAAGGTGATCTAGTATCAGTGTTCCAGCTCTATCGCTTTACCCAAAATCCAAATTGTATCATTTAGTACTTATGATAAACATAGTACAAATTTACAAAACTACCTACATATCCCAATCCAACACTTCGACTCAAAATTTGAAGATTCCAGCTCCAACCGGTTCTCCAAATTCAAATTGTATAAACTTTAGAAAAGTTTAGTACTTCTCGTATAAGTATACGCTTTCAAAACCACCTCCTTATATCGACCCTACTTCTTAACGTTTTTCGCATTCCAAATTTCAAGTTTTTAGCTGTATCCATTCACATTGTAACAAATTTAGTAAAAGTTATTCTTTTTCGAATACTTAAAGTTCGAATGTCCCAAAAACCTTTGGTACACCTATCCTACCCTCAATCCAAATTATAGATTTCAGAGTTCTACATCCACCAGTTTGGCAATTACAAATGGTACCACATTTAGTACTTCTCTTACCGTTCTAATACGAATTTCCAAAAACCTAGCCTTATCTGACTTCACCACCTTCTGGAGGAAGGTACACAAATAATTCAAACTTCTATTGTCCGTTCTTTCATAGCACTTCCATTTCCGCAACTTTTTGTTTTAAAAAAAATATTTTCATCTCACCCTATTATAGCGATACGATATTTGTACAATTGTTTCTGTGTGTTGTTGCTGTTATTGTTTTTGTTGTGGCCAATTTGTATAAACAAAAAGATCAGCACAAGTGCACACCAACTGTATACGTTAGTTGTGAAGATACATACGAACGTGTAAAATGTCCGATTACAGACAGTAGATTATTAGTGATTTGTAGGGTTGTCGGCCTGAGATTTGTAATGGAAAGGTTATATGGGTTATTTTTTACACACCGCGTTTTTAACTAATTTCAAACAAATTTAATATGTTTTGATTAGAAAAAAATAATTAGAAAAAAAAATTATCTATTACAAAATAGTGAATATTTGTTTCCAAGTATATGCATCTATACAATTGTTTTTAACAAATTTCATACAAAAGCAACATATTGAATGGAATGTTGAATTTATGTACTGTGATTGTATTCGTACTTTCCCAAAGCGCCCACGGGCGACTGTTTGGTGAATGTTGGTCTAGATCGACTCAGCTAGTCAAGAGATGACGATCGGTATACTTAAAGGTGATCTAGGATCAGTGTTCCAGCTCTATCGCTTTACCCAAAATCCAAATTGTATCATTTAGTACTTATGATAAACATAGTACAAATTTACAAAACTACCTACATATCCCAATCCAACACTTCGACTCAAAATTTGAAGATTCCAGCTCCAACCGGTTCTCCAAATTCAAATTTTATAAACTTTAGAAAAGTTTAGTACTTCTCGTATAAGTATACGCTTTCAAAACCACCTCCTTATATCGACCCTACTTCTTAACGTTTTTCGCATTCCAAATTTCAAGTTTTTAGCTGTATCCATTCACATTGTAACAAATTTAGTAAAAGTTATTCTTTTTCGAATACTTAAAGTTCGAATGTCCCAAAAACCTTTGGTACACCTATCCTACCCTCAATCCAAATTATAGATTTCAGAGTTCTACATCCACCAGTTTGGCAATTACAAATGGTACCACATTTAGTACTTCTCTTACCGTTCTAATACGAATTTCCAAAAACCTAGCCTTATCTGACTTCACCACCTTCTGGAGGAAGGTACACAAATAATTCAAACTTCTATTGTCCGTTCTTTCATAGCACTTCCATTTCCGCAACTTTTTGTTT